CGTATTTACACCACTCGGATTACCGCATGAATCATTACAAATGAGAGATATTTGAATTATATTTACATTTTCTTTATTATTATTTGATGGATTGCAATTATTATAATCTACTGGATCATTCTGGAATGAATTCATTTCTCTTGGAATTGAGTTTTGTTCGATTTCAATATTTTTAGGTAGGACATTCGGATTCAAACGATGCTTTGTATGATTAATAAAATCTTCTTCCCGAAAATGAGCTTCGCACACGTACATATTCCGGGAATTTATTGAAATATCAATGTTACAAATTCGTTTCCATTTCGTGGAAATATCGGAATTATTTGGAAATCGAAAAAAGCGTTTATTCGCTATTTTGTCACCCTCACCTGTTGACCAAAAATAGGCATTGCCACATCCAGGGAATTTGCACGAATATTTCTTTCGTGAAGGCATTGCAAACAATATAAGTTTGCTTTAACAAATGCAAGAGTTAAAAAAACGTCCATCAATGCGGACTCTGTCCTCGAAAGAAAACAGTCCCAGCACCCACTGATAGAACACTAGTAAATGACTGATAAGTTTTACTTAATATAATTATATTTCCTCGATCAGTGCGGACTCTGTCCTCGAAAGAAAACAGTCCCAGCACCCACTGATAGAACACTAGTAAATGACTGATAAGACTGGACATAATAATTCTTTAAAATGTTATTACATTTTATATTCCACTCTTGTATTTGTTAAAGCAACATGTGCATCCAAGTAATTTGAATGTGATTTGCATTTGTTAAAGCAACATGTGCATCCAAGTAATTTGAATGTGATTGAATGTGATCGTCGAAATAATGCAATCTAACCTTGAAACCAGAGGCTACGCACCGGCTTCATCCCGGATCGGCGGTGTCAACCCAGCAAGGTAGAGAGTACATTGTATGATAGACCTGTAAATAGAGTAGAATTAGTATGAGAAGTAGAGATAGGTATAGAGATGAATGAAAATAAGAAAGAAAAAGAAAAAGTATCTAGGATTAATTAATTAGAGAATAAGATAGCATTAAGATTAGAAATAGGTGTAAATAGTTGATTAGGAGCCCTTAAGGCCACAAAACCGTAGATACGGTAATAATAAAGACGTGTAATCGTATAACGGGTAATCGGAAAAAGTGATTTAATATAATAAATGAGAAATAAGACGAATAAGAATTATTATCGGAGAAATTGACTGTTAGAGTCATTAAAAAAGTTGATAGAATTGATTGGATCACTAACGGATGCTAGATTATACCGGGTGATCAGAGAAATTTGTTGAGTAATAGTTAAAGTTGGCGGATCGCAAAATGCGACCGTAGTGTTTCATTTGGACATGAATAAAGGGTGTTGTAAAAATATGGAATTACCATATATATCGGGTGACCATAAATTATCGTTATCACGAATATCCATTAAGAATTGAAACAAGTTGAACCGTAAGGTTTATGGATAGCATTAATAAAAGTAATTGAGATCATTAGATTGAACCGAATATAACGGGTTGTTAATGAAAAATTGTTGTTGCGTACATTGAGTGAGTGGATTGCGAAAAGCGACCGTTATAATAGTAAGGAGCATAAATGGAAGTAGAATATGTGTGCATTGAATGAATACTTATATCGGGTGATTATGTAAAACGGGTATTAGAGATAAAAATTGACGGATTGGGAAAAGCCACCGTCATTGCTTGATTGAACATTAGATAAAACGGTAGTTAGAGTTTTGAGTTGATTCATATACCGAGTGTCGGTAAATATTGTTAAGTAGAGATAGAATTAGACGGATTGGAAAAAGCCACCGTAGTTACCTTATTGGACCTTAGATTGAAGTCTATGCAAAGTTTTGAGTTAATCGATATACCGACTGTCGGTAATTACTGTTGAAGATAAGTGAAAGTTGAGGGATCGGAATAACCGACCGTCATTGTGCCAGATAACACCGACAGAGCGTGCTGTGCAAATTTCAGATCGATCCGATAACCGGAAGTGAGAAAATTACCGTTATCGTACCGATAGAGTTACGTAGCGCGAGAACTACGGATAGCAAGTAATATGTATAGTGTATATAGATAAGAGGGAATGTAGTCGATAAGTTGATGACCTGTAAATAAAGAATTGATTAATATTTAACGATACTTACCTGTAACTCCAGCGGGAGTAAACCAGCGGCTGCATTTCCATTTGTGTGTGTTGTACCTGAAAATAAAAGAAAGCGTTAATTAAAAACTAATATAATGTAATAAAAATGCAGGAAATATATTGAGCGGCGTAGTGAGTATTCAACGGTTAACGCTGTGAGCGCGTTCAGTGCGCAAGTCGTATAGAGAGGGTAGAGCACCAGAGAAGGGAGCATAGGTAATATAAG